TTACAATCCTAGTAGTTCTCCTAGTACTTTTCTTTGTGAACCTGTGTGGCAATACATGCACCGCTTTTTAGCGTTTAATTATTCCGGTCGCAAAGCAAGTTCTGTCACCTTTAGTAAGGCTGAATCTTTCTTTATATGGGCTATGTTGACACCTGTGTATGTCAATTTATGGTATTGGCTTGCTACGCAATTTGAGACTGCTTTAACTTGCAAACGTGCTTTGATTCTTGGTTCTCTAATCACTCATTTGGCTGTTAATGCTAAGTTGCTTAATGTTGAAAATAATAATATGCATGTGGCCTGTGAGGTACAACCTTTAGATATGCAGACTTTGGTACGGATGGGGCTAGTCAATTTAAGGAATGAGGTTTACACTTTCAATTCCCCTGGTCCTCCTTCTAGAGTTCGCTCAAAGTTGAAGCAGTCTTCTTTTCCTTCTGATTCGGAGTTTTCCCTTACTGAGGCTACCAATTCTGGTTCTTCTGTTGCTGAGACTCTTCAACTGGTGATGTCTAAGGTTGAGAGGTTGGAGGCAAACGTAAATGCTTTCTTCGAGTTTCTGCAGTTCAAGCCTCCACATCCTGCTCCTCCCTGATTTTTCAGAGAAGTTTCTTCAATTTTATATCTTTTGCTACATTGTGGACAATGTTTGTTCTAAGTGTGGGGGGGATTTTAGGTGTTCTTGTCTGTTTGTGTTTAGTTTTTTTTTCCATTTATTATTTTAGTGTTTGCTTATGTTAAAAAAAAATAAAAAAAGGAAAAAAAATTAAAAAAAAATAAAAAATCAAAAAAATAAAAAATACCAAAAGTAGCCGATGATGAACTTAACTTGAGTCTGTAAGAAATCTAATTACATTGGGACAAAAATTTCTCTTGAATCTATGCCTTATGTGTTATACCCTAAATACTTTACTTGTGCACTTTATTCATAACTCTGGGATAAACATAACATGTATGTGTAATTGCCTAAATTCATGTGATATGCCAAAGTTTGATTTGATTCATTCATTATTTGTACCATTTGCATGTGGGACCTTGCTATATTATGAAACTCAAAAATAGGCATTAACCCTACCATCACTTCAAACTCGAAAAACGGGAGAGTGGTGGTTTGAAAATAGCCTTTTTACCTTCGTGCTTAAAGTACTTTGTACTAAGTAAGTGTGGGGGAGGGGTTGTTGGCGGATGCTTTTCTGAGGTTAGGTACAATTTAAAGAGGGAGAAAACGAAGAGCATTCAATGTTGATGCTAGCCCATTGATAGGTTCGAAGTTTGGCAAACAACTAGCAGAGTGTCCTCGGGCCAGTCGGTGAGAAGCCCGTCGGTGAGAAAATATGAGTAAGTAGACTGCCCTAAGTTGCTGAGCCACTATGTAAATCATTACATAAATCAAGTGGAAAAATGCTCTGGGTAGGGGCCTGAGTGGGAAAGATCTTGAAGAAAAGCCATATGCACACCGAAGAATGGGTACGAGGGAAGTGCGTTGAATTGTATTATGTGAGGTGTAATTGTAAGCCTACAGTTCCACAACATGTGTAGGAGTAACATTGCATTGAAGTATGGTCTGAATTAAGGATCCTAAGTTCACTCTTCAGGGGCATATTTGCATTTGAATTTTTGTATTTTATGCTATATGTGATAGTGATGTCCCTAGGAAGTGGTTTACACACACACACAAAGGGCTAAAGGGTAAAAGCACGTAATGTATTTGATTCAGTTGTGAATTTTTGTTTTATGGTTACCACGATTTCTTTTGAGTGTTAGAGTTCCTGAGGCACATCATAAATAATAATTTGTTGAAAGTTTAGAATTCCTAGTTCGTTAATGCTTGAGGGCAAGCATGCCTTAAGTATGGGGGAATTTGATAGAGTCTATAAATTATGCTTTAATTGTTATTATTTTATGAGTTTATGGACTTGGATGGTTTTAATTCATTAAGTTTTGTTAATGTTTTGTGTTAGGAGCTGGAAATCGGAGTTTATAACTTTTTGGAGCTAATTGATACAAAAAGAGACTGAAAAAAATCATCCAACTTGAGCAAAAGGAAGAAGTTTACTCCAATGATGGACCTAATTACAAAGTATTGAAGTTGTTGGGAGAAGAAGCTGCTAATAAGAAATTTTATAGACTGAATTTTATCATTGAAGAAAGTTTGGGCCAAATTGGAAGAGACTTGGAAGTGGAAGGACCAATGCTGCAATTTATTGTTTAATTTTTGGCAGCATACGGCTGACCTAATTACTAGTTATAAAAGGCCGGATGTTTCTTGTTTTTGGCCACCATTTTTGTCATTCGACCGCACGGCCGTCGTTTTTTTTTTTTTTTGTTCGAAGAAACAACAAAGTGCGCAGCTTTTTCTTTTGGCTTTGGAGGTCAGGGCTGTCTCCATTTCTCCGGGTTTTCAATTCTTCTAGACTTGGTACTATTTTTCTTTGAATAAATTAGCTATCATGTCCATGATTATGAGTAGCTAAACCTTTTATTTCTGATTCAAGGGATTTAATTCAAATATTTCACATGTGAGGTTTTGGTTTTAATTTAATCTTGTCTATGGTTTGAGTTATTTGTTTATTCTTGTTTTAATTTTATGAAAGTGAAGACCAATTAAATTGACAACTTGGTTGTGTATTTTCTTTTTATTGCTATCCTTTGGTTGTATGTTACGTATTTGACACGATCCATTGGAATTTAGTAGCAACTAGGTGGCTCATTGGTATTTGTGAGACTTGGATGCTTCTGTACGCCTAGGAGTAGGATCGACAAATCATAATTTAATTTATTGTAGCTATCTCAATAATTTTGAATTGTGTTTCAAGCATATTTCCTTGGTTTTATTGCTATCATTGAATTGTATGGAACGCTATCGTGCCCAGCGTTTAATGATAAGTGCTAACTGAATGCTAGGTTTGGTTAGTTAATTTAGGGGAATTTTATGTTTACTACGGCTATCCTAGTATGCTTAAACTTGAGTGCTCGAACTGCAAGAATAATTTCAGTTACCAATGATCTGTGAAATAATTGGATGATCCGTTCCTTGAGTCAGAACCTTTGTGATATTGAATTTTCTCCTTGTTTACCTATCCTTGCTTTTAAAATTCGTAATTTTTATTTTGTCTAGGTAGTTAGTAAACCAACAAACGAAATCTTTTTGGACATTGTTAAACTAAGAACTAAAAATCTAGCTCTTTTGAGATTCGACCTGGTACTGCTACTATTGCAAATTTTGTAGTTCGGTAGGATTATCGGACTAATTTTGGGTGCCTCGACAAACTTGCCAAAGCCATAGAAAGCAAGATGTATGAACATTAATTTCTCATTAGTGAATGAACTCTAAGCTTCTCAATTGTAATTTTGTTCACATCTTGAGCAAATAATTATCGAAAATTTAAAATCATAGCAAGAAGTTCAAAATCTCATGTATTGCAATAATGCCTTGACCAGAACAAGAACAAAATATAATAAGATTATGTTCTAGTTGATTTGAAACATGATTCAAAAGAGCGAAAAAAATAACAATTTTTTTGCTTGTTTATTTGATTCACTGCAACACTGCTGGTGACAAACAAAACATATGAGCATTGGCATATTAATGTAAGAAACCAAATCTCAAGACAAACGGCATTAGCTATCATCTAAAGAACCATGTTTTTGTGTATGAACAAATCTTAATTGATTCTTATCCAAAGAAAACAAAATATAGAACCAAACCTTCTTTTTCAATTCTTAATCGATTCTGATGGCCTCGAATCAACAATAGCAAGCATTCAGAGATTTTGACGATTCAGACGTTTGATAGATTGTGAGCTATTCATCAGCTCTGAGCAGTAGAGTTATAAAGAGAAGAAATATTTTCAGAAACTTGTGTGAGAATTATCCTACTATAGAAAGGATTTTAATTAGAGAGAGCGGATAAAAACTGAATTCCTATATTTTCTCCTTTTTTTTTTTTACTAATTTATCTCGTTAAAACTAATTTTCCTACTTTTTTCTCCAGTGTTATATTTTTCATGCGCATGTGTTTAGTTCCTGGTTCATATTGCCATAAATACCATGCTCTATAGTATAAGAATTGACATATATATGGTTGGCAAACATTTTAAGTCACTACAGTTTCCTCATCTACACGAGGGTTTCTTTGATAACTAGTACTTTTTAATTGTAAAGTAGAATAATTAAAAAAAAAAGTCTTATTTGATAACAAGATTATATGACCCCTTTACTCTGCGCCCACATCTATGTACGGGTTGTGTTGACATGTTCAGTACAAACAATAGCAAATATACATGGAACTAGTTTAGAAAATGGCCCTTATATACGATCGACGAAGAGCCACTCCTTTAAAAAATGATTAAACCAAAGCATCCCAATTTACTACCGTAAAAATACATGACGAAATGCCATCGTTGAAAAAACTTATTCCTTCTCCATAAATTTTGGCAGAATATGGGATTCAAGTGAAATAGCTGTAGATAACAATGTTGTACAGAAGACTGAAAAGAAAAGGAAATAAGATTTACATTTTAAATCCCTCGTAAAAATACAGTTGTTTTCGGTTTTCTGCGTAACAAAAAGGTTTTGGGCCATTAGAATATTTCACAATGTTGTGTCAGATTTCGCCTTCATCGGTATAATTAAGAGCTCATACTTTATTATTATTATTATTATTCTCATTATTATTATTATTATTATTATTATTATTATTATTATTATTATTATTATTAATAACGTGGTTTTCTCTTTTAGGCTGAAAAACAAAGGAAATCAATAAAGGAAACCGGATTATCTTATACCTCAAGTTACTACATGTCTTGGAGCAGAGGTTTCACCTCGAGCAACACGTCTTGGAGCAGAAGTTTCCCCTTTGTTTGTTTTTTTTTTTTTATTTCGTTTGTCCTTTTAAACGCTTTTTCCCTATGAATTATAACTAACTAAATCGGAACACAATCTAACACAAATTTCTGAGGTCACTAACTTTCTCTCCTTACTCCCCCGCCGTAGTTATGGAATCGCTCGCTCTCACCCAGCTCACCACCGTCCCCTTCGGAGCTATCTCCGCCGCTCTTCCCTCCGTTTTCGTGCTCTCCTCGCGTCTCCCGTGGCATCGCATGGTGACACGTGGACGACGTTCCTCCGCTCGTGCCGCCGTCAAGCACTACTCTTCCTTGTCTCCGCCGCGGCCAGCGTCGACTTTGGGACGGCCGGTGGCTGCAGCGCCTTTCTCTGGTCTGCCCTTTTCCTCCTCCGCGGCGAGGCGGTACTCTTCGTTGGTGGTTCCGAGGAGTAGCATGCCGTTGCGTATTCTATCGTCATCACCATGGCGGCAGCTTACTCCGGCGCCGGCTGCGTCTTTCTCTGTTGACTCATCTCGATACATGAGCTCTGGCTACTATGACAACAGGTAAAAACAACTAATATTTTTTCTCCGTTACATAAATATATTTCATACCGAATTTGTGATTTGTACTAAAGGAGTATTAAATTGTGTTGTTTGTGAGAAATATTTATATTTTTATTTTTGTTGTATATATTACGCTGTCTATTGTCGATAACATTGATTAATCCGATCTAGCTAAAACAATTATGTTAGTTATTTATGTTGTATCAATTGTTACATTGATTAAATCGTCCTCGCTAAAAAGTGAACATTATTTATGTTGTATTTAATTGTTGTTAATGAGTGTAGCAAGGACTTTAACGCTCCAAAAACACCTGTGCACTTTGGAGTCAAAAAGGTTCCGCAGGGACAGGCTTATGTGGTAGAGCGTTTGGGAAAGTATTCAAGAACGTTGACTCCCGGAATAAATTTCTTGATTCCGATTGTGGATAAGATTGCCTATGTTCATCTTCTCAAAGAAGTTAGCTTCGGTATCTCGGGCCAATCCGGTATCACTAGAGACAATGTCCGCATTGATATGGATGGTGTTCTTTATTATAAGGTACGTATTATTCCACATGTTACAAATAATAATAATATTTTCCGATTAATTTTGCGTTGAATCGTAATTAGTTTATTACTTTTTTTATTGGTATATTTGCTGTTTACGCATCATAGGTGGTTGACCCTTTAAAAGCCTCGTATGGGATTCATAATCCCAAATTGGCAATAATTGAGATTGCCCAAACAACTATGCGTAGCGAGATTGGTAAATTGTCATTAGACAAACTTAATGAAGAGACCTTGAGTGACAAAATTGTGGTACGTTTTCTCTGAAATGTTGTTACTATTTTGAGTTGGAATTCATCCATATTTGTTACTATCCCCGTTCCAAAAAAAAGTATATGTATATTGAGTTTTCAAATTTGTACTAAAAATATTACAAAATTAAAACTCAATGTAGACTATTTTTGTGGGACGGAGGGAGTACCTTTTTTGCATAACATAGAATGTGGTCTACTAATTGATTGGATTTTTTTTTCCCCCGAATTGACAATCAAAAATCGAGATATTTCCATGAACATTGATTAACAAGAAGAATCACTGTTTAGACCAATTGTTGTTTTTTTCCCTTTCAGGTAGAGATAAATAAAGCTGCTAAGGATTGGGGTCTTCAGTGTCAACGTTATGAAATAAGTGAGCACCATTTTAATTGGAAAAATGAATTATAGTTGAAGTTTTGAAGTTAATCAGTTCTTAATGAAGAACTTCTAATGGTCTTCTTGTTTTTGTGCCCAGAGGATGTTAATATGCCCGAAGGAACGCAATTGGCTATGCAGAGGCAAGCAGAAGCTGAGAGAGATAAGAGATCGGAAATATTAAAGTCTGAAGGTACTATTCTTGTCATCTTAAAAAAAGTACTTCACTTAGTTGATGGATAGAGTATTGTGTATATATACCTTTACATAAAACTACACGATGCACGTTGAAAAAGTATATAGTAGCAAAATGGCAAACACTTTTATAGAGATAGAAAGGTGGTTTAATTCCTTTATAGTTTTCATATGTCAGCTTTCAGGTATACTTGTTTAACGATATTAATACAATTTTACTCGTAAAATTAACAGGTACGCGGCAAGTAAAAATAAATCTTGCTGAAGGCGAAAAAGCGGAAGTCATACTCAAATCCGAAGCTGCAATGCAAGATAAGATTAACAGAGCTAGAGGCAAGTGATCTTCTTATATATTTTTTATCAGTTAATTAGTTTAGCACTTAATTGTGAATTCAATTTCTTTAATTATAATAATTTTTTTTTGGTAAAGATGGCTTGGAAAGGATGCAATTAGACGGCACGCTAATTTATTGCATAAATATATTCGTCTTCTTCCTACAGGAGAAGCACAAGCAGCCCTTCTAGCTGCTGAAGCTTCAGCAAGAAGAATCCAAATGGAGTCAAAGGCCCTTGAGGAAAAGAAAGGGTTGGAGGTGGGTTAATTGTTTCTCCTTTTTCTTTTCCAAACTGCCAATTAATCATCAATTACTGCTGGACGTTTTCTAGCTAGCTACTTTATAATACAATAAGGCAAAAAAAGTAAAACATGAAAAAAAATATGATGACTCATTTCGTAGAAAAAGGCAATGACGGGTGTATTAATTTCTGTCTAATTTATTTTCTCATGAATGGGTTTCTGTTGAATTTTTGGATTGTAGGCCGCAAATTTGAAGATTGCTGAGCAATGGATCAAAGCTTATTCTAATCTTGCAAAAGAGGTATGTTACATAAACTTTTGGCCTTTTATTGTGTTATATGATAAAATGATACTTCATTGATATACGAAAGAATAATCTTGTTTTTGGGACGAAGGAAGTATCTGATTAATTGAACGTTTAACTAATATATCATTATATGAATATTTCTATTTCAGGCAAATACAATCTTGCTTCCTTCAAATCCTTCTGATCCTATGTCCATGATAGCCCAAGCAATGAGTGTGTATGGCAACTTAAATAGTTCATCATCGTTGCCTAAACCATCTTTTAGCAAAGATGCAGCATTCCATGAAACATCATCAATTGAAGATGTTGCAACATTAATATCTGAACCATCTGGATCATCTTTCGAGGAAGATGTAGCAATAATCCATGATCCATCATCTTCATCTACATCTACAATATCTTTAGGAGAAGATCAAGATGCAGCATGCTACACGTCGACTGAACCGTCTACATCTTTCGAAGATTCAGACAGTGATTCGTACGTAGCTTAAACTGTGTATACTATAGTCGTGAAATCATCATCCACGATGGTTGTTCTACGCACACAAATTAAGCATAAGCTAGTAAATATTATATAAAAAGAGAAAAAAAAAGAAAAAAATATTAGCAGTAGCACCAAAGTTTGATCAATGTTTTCGACTTGGCCAGTTAACATGTCTTAAGTGTGTTTTGGAGTCACAGATTGACTAACATCGTCGCTCATGAGTTGACTATTTTTTGGCTGAAAACCAGCCCCTTTTATTAATCATAGATAGGCGTTTCTCAACCACCGTAATGAATTTCTATTTTATTTCAAAAGAAAAAGCTTGTTTAATGTTTCTGTTTTGAGATGTCTTAAATTATTGTTATTATTAGTTTTTTCTTTGGTTTTTTGTAATTTTCTGTTCTCACAAGGGAACACAATATCATCATTAATTATTTAATTAGCTATTTTGTTGAAAAGATGTTGTGCTTCTATTTAATGGTTCGTATCGTTTCAAAAATAATTATTTGGGTTGGAGTCTCATTTCTATTACAATACTAGAAAAAAGAATTCGAATCGCACCGTTATTATGGAACGAAGGGAGTGGAAATTTGATATGTTCCCCCCTATAAACCCTGGCACTTTAAATCATAAGCAAATCTTTTAAAACAAACGAAATGAAATTATTATTATTTTTATTTGAATGGCACGGAGCCAGTTGCGTGGTTCTTTCTGTTTGTATACAACGCACCAAGAAAGTCGTTGCATTGCATATGTCACTCACGGCCGTAGTCTGGAATTTGTTAAGTTCAAAAAGTCCTTGCTGAAACTCTGATTTCCATGGTCAGAAACCTCAATGGGAATAAATACATTTTTGGACCCTGAATTGCAAGGAATTCAGGCGTCAAGTCATCCACAGAATTGCACAACAGGGGACCAACATGCAGCCCGAAAGACACAGCAGGCTCCAAGCTCAAACACTCGCAACAGAATTGAAACAACTAAAAGAGAAGTAGCTTTACAGAAGATCCAACTGTAACCGGCCGGACAAAGGGTTCCTCCGGTCTTAATGTAGCAGCGGTGTTGATACCGGAGGAAAAAAGAGAAAAAAGGGGGAAAAACAAAAGAAGAAAAAAGATGGGGGTTGAACCAGGGTAGAGAGGGAAGGGTATGAATTTGAATTAACAGAAAAGGGCTTGAATCCTTAACTCAACCATTTCATTTGACAGAACTACAGATTTCTGAACTTCTGTTCCATGAGTGGTTTTGGAGGTGATCTAAGACAGATTACTGGGTTTGACACATGAAAACTCTCTTGCGAGTTAGATAACACCTGCAATCTGTCTTAGCACCCCCAGCTTCTCCATCACGAATGCGTCATCACCACATTCCATAGAACCAAAACATTTACGGGCATCACATCAAAATGCCTCAATTCCATACTCAAATTCCACCTCCCACAGCAGACCAAGCAACAACATTTCAACATCCCTTCTAGCCATTTCGAGAAAGAGAGCTTTTGCAAATCACCATATCCTAGCAAATGTATTCATTTAAACTTAAGGCAGCCACGTATTTATAATGGCTCCATGGTTCTCACTTCTAGAATAAGGAAACTTCATTCCTTTTCTTTTTGGTGCAAATGTGTAAACAAATTAGAAATTTAATGCTCTTATTTGCTAACAATCTTGAAAGAAAGGCAGAGTAATTTAGAGAAAAAGAACCAAAAACCTCTCGTAACAAATTGTCACCATCCAGAAACATCTTTCAGTACTACTATCCTAACCAATGAAACAAACTAGTGCCCAAAAGAAATCACTTGCTTACAGATAGAAGTTGTTACTAGTACTACATTACTTTCCCACTACACAAGCTGTTTTTCTCAAGTATTCCCATGCTTCACTCCCTTCTTAGCAGCCAGATTTACTTATTTATGACGAGAATGGTAGGTGTCAAACAATGGCTCTGAGCACTGTTTCATAGGCTACCTGCATTACATTCAAAAACCAGATGATTATATGACTATTTGCTTCAATTACAAAAACAGGCTTTAGGGACACATCTGAAAATGACACATATCTCAACTTCCCGAAGATGAAGGCGGAAGACCAATGAAGCGTAAAGGCCACTAACAATGATATCGTGAATGTTTTATAAAAAAAATGGCGAGAAACTACTTTCTACACTAAAATGGGAGCTTAAGAAATTTATTTGAAGAACAGCAGTCAGCAGGAGAGGGTTTTAAACTAAGGGCGTAGAAAACATTGAGGATCCCCAAAACTGGGGGAAATGCAAACCATATATCTTTCCCCCTAATATTTGGAAAGGCTTTTCAGGAACAGAACAACACATTGCTCCTTCCGCCCGATAACAATAGTAATGTTTTAAAATTAAAGACTACATCTATAGAATGTATAATAATTAAGTGAAAACGACACTATAACTTTTTGTACAAAGGAGTGCATCTTTTAGCCTTTTTAATGATCATCTGTAAAAGCTAATAATTGCCAGAACATTCACAATAATTTTCACTTTCGAATAAAATTATCTTGTAGCAAATGTGTACAAAAGCCAAAATACTGACAACATTATTTGTAGTCAAAACATGCCAGGGGGAGATTAACAAACTCAGTTGTATCTACTCCATAATCAAAATCTATGAAATTAAAAGAGTAGATAATAAACTCTACAGGAAAATACACTTAGCATAGGAGAAGTATGTATCAGCCATATATGTCCTAGAAAGGTTCCATGTGTGATGGGGACAAGGAATGGTAAAAGAACCCTATCAGTAGGTTCTTCCATATTTATGCCCAGGATCATCATGATCCAAGGAAGGAGCCAAAGTGTTGGGACTTTGGTTAAGTTAATCCTTTATTAAGCAGTAATTTAATTATTTATTTCAGTATTAATATTTAGGAAAGGGTATTTTAGTATATTAGCTATGCTGCAGAAATTTTTTGGAATAAAAAGGAAATTAGGTGAGAATTCTAATTGTTTTTGGTTTAGGTTATGTTTTAGGCCTATTTATATGTACCTCATATGAGGAGATTTTTTTTAGAGACATTGATTAATAAAAATTCCTGCAATAAGCTTTGCTTTGCAATAGTTGTGTGACTCAACTAAATCTTTGGTGTGATGCCTAGGATTCCTGCGGTGTGACGCCAAAGGGCCCTAAGAATGATTCTTAGGTTTTCTTCTCTTCTTCCTTTCCTACCCTTAATTCCTTTTTTCCTGCGATTTCCAAGCTTGTTTTCCTACAGATTCTTTTAGTTTCCGCTGCATACTACTCTTTAATAAGTTTAAGTTTTGATTTCTTAACCACCACGTTTTGTCCTGCGTTAATGTGATTCGGCATTTGTAACGACTTCTTTCTTTTAAAATATCATCTGAGATTCTGGGTTCACTGGTTCATTATTGGCTTGTGGTAAACAGATGATTATAGTAAATGTCATTATCTTATTAAGAAGAGCCGTACGAGAAGCAAAAACTTATAGTAGGAAAATTGTTCTTAACACATAAAACAGATTTTTTGCAATTGCAAATAGAAACTTGAAAGAGAAAAGTACACACAGAAAACCTCTCTTGAACAATTAATACTAGTTAAATTAAATTCACAAACTACAGGTAATGCTAGTCATAAAGAGCTAGAAACAGAAGGAAAGTTCAAAACCCAAGGAGGTAATCTTTTCATTGACCTTAAGTAATGGCAATTCAATTTCTGAGACTAATATTGGATTTTATACCTTTGATCTTCCCAGACAGTCCTTGAATGGATCCGGCACAATCTCCACAACCCCTAGACTTTATCTCAAGTACTTTCAATGGTTTGACTTTGCCGGCCAAAGATTTTCCATCATCAAAAAAATACTTCTTCCATTGATATCCTTCTCTATAAGCTTGATGGCTTCCAACTTTAACCTTAATGAATTTCTCGTTCTGAGAAGCATAAGGTACCATCCCCGCATTTGGTGAATTCTCACGTATAAACTGAAAAGTTGTGGTGGATTTGCTATCCTCAAATGATAAAATCTGCAATTGAGGAGCCATCCAAAGCAGGCCCTCCAGCACGCCCAAGTTGATGGGTATGTACTTATTGTTAGTAGTATAACGGGGTCCTATAGTTAAGTATTTGATGTCCCAGAGAGGAGGATCCGGATTGTGCCTCAGCCGCTTGAGAGCCTTGAAGTGGCGAGGCGCAAAATCAGCCAACTTCACATTCTCGATATGATTGAAACTTCTAAGGAACTCCACAAGTTTATCATATCTGATTCTATCCTTTACAGATCTAACAAACACAGCATCCTCTATGCATGGTGTACCCCTCGACAGAGTTGACGATATGAAACCGTAGTAGGAGAATCTAGACAAACGAGGTGCATCTACTCGGACATCCACTCCAAGGTCGACAAATCCCAGGCATAGCTCTCTAATGGAGTTGCTTGAAATTCTGAAGCTCTTCGACCCCTGGTCAATATTGTTGCCAATCCATCTGAACTCATGCAGTTGGAATACCTCGAGGAAGAGAAGACCTGAAACAAGCTGTTCAATAGACTTGACCAAATTGCCATCACCACATATATAACTTAACTGGACATTCTTCAAATTCTTGCAGGCCGCTACATCAAGAACCTGTAGTCTGTCCTTTGCGTTACCCAAGTACCAAAAGTGCTCAAGATTTGGGGACTCTTCAATCTGAATCAGTTTGATTTCTTCCCCGAGGTAATAATTCTTCTCCAAATGAATCCTTTTCAAGCTGTGATGAGGGCCGAGAACTCGGAAAGTCTCGAAACCAAAACAATCACTAATCTTCACTATGTTCAGCTGGGGGCTGTGCTTGAGAATTTGCTCAAGTAACACAGTCCCAATATGAGCAAAAGACAAATCAAAATCCCTCAGAGAAGGATAAGAAATTCCATCAATATCAGTTAATGACATGTTCAATCCTGATAAAACAAGCTTCTGCAGAGAGCTTGCAGAATAAATAGAGCTAGGTAATGTACACTTCCATGATGAATATTCGCCATC